CCAGCTGCTCCTTGAGAGAAAGACCAGGCATTCTCCTCCTTTGAAAGTGAAGAGCCCAGAAGCCCACAGGGACAGTCTCTACCCTGCGCTTGAGGTTGCTATGAGCCCGAATCTAGTGGATGGCAGTCAGGTTTTTGGTTTTGTTTTAAATAAATATAGGAATTCGCTTTTAATCCTTTTACATTAATCTTGCTGTACCCAATGACCCTTTAATGTGAATACTATGCTTTTATGATAATTTATTCTGAGGCAACCGTCAGTACAACACATCAACATTGTTTCTTTGTCCTATGGCAATTTGGATTAAGTTATCAATTTAAAATGATTAAAAATTAGAAAATATGAAGACAAGACCTATAGTAATATTTAAGAATAATAGGATTTTTAAAAATTCTTTGATTTCTGTTGAACTTAATAAGTGCCCAGAAGGAAAATGCATCTTTTAAACTAATTATCTGAACTGTGTATTCTATTTAATATTAAAATGATAGGGCTTAAATTAAATTAATCACATTCCTTTATATTCATGTTACATTTGATTAAATAAAGTAATATCATTCTATATTAATTCTGATTAAAATATATTGCATTTGCAATTATGCCCTCAATAATGTTCAGAAACTAAAACATTTACTTTGTATTTCACTGATATTTAAACAGTATGGTACATAAAAAGCTGCCACTTTTTGTTCATCTTGAATATTTTGCTCTTCTTGCATTCACTCAAAGAAAGGTATGGATGGCCGTGCTAAAGTAACGTGCACTTGTACTTATCCATCTGCTGTCTTCAAAGTGCTTTATTTTTATTGCTTGTTGAAAATATATACAGAAGAAAATACACCAAAATCAACAATTTCTGCATGTACAATTCAGTATCACTAGTTACATTCTTCAAATAGTGGGTGACGCATCTTACTTTTCCAACTTATTCCTCCTTCATTAACATCCACTCATTCTTCCCACCCCATGCCCCCAACCTTCCCAGTCATTGTGGTCAGCGCATTTGTATGCTATTTTCATCACCCTTGTTCTTGCATGAGTTTGTAGTGTTGCTCTCGGGCAGCTGAGAGTTCCTGATGGAAATGATCAGGCCCCTTGGCTTTCTTGATCCTGTTCCTCATCCTTAGTTAATCGCTTCCACAGTCTCAGAGAAGAGTATCAGATCTTTACCTTCTTCCTCTTACCACTTCTCTGCCGACTTCCCACCGTAGGGATAGATTACAATCTCTACCAGAAGTCTCCTAGTGACCAGTCTGTAGGTCCTCCATGTTTTCCACACTGGCTGCAAAGTGGAGGCCAAATTTTCCTTGCATTTTACAATGCTTTTCTTGGGTGCGGTGGGGTGGGACCAAGATGTCTTCAAATGGATTTTGAATGATCCAACTCGGCATACTCTGCCTTTTGTGTCATCGGGTCCTCTTCATGCATCCGTAGGGCCTTCTTGGCACCTATAGATCTGTGAGACTCTCTGAGCACAAACCATAGCTTACATGTTTTCCCATCATGAGACACTCTCTTATCAGGAAACAAGATTGTTTCATTTGCATAATATATTTATTACTTAGTTTAAATAATTGAAAGTAAATTGCAGGTAGTATTACAATTTATGTTTAAATATCCTAACAGGCCTCATCTAAGATTACCATCAATTTTCTCTGTAAGGATAATGATATTATCACACCTAACAAAATGAACAGTAATTTAATAATATTAGTCATCAGGAATGGATCGACATCCATTTGAGGTCCTTACATTATATTGAATGATCATTCTGAATGATTTTAACAACTCCTTTCTTTATAAGAGATTCTCCCATGTCTTCTTGCTGTATACATATGTATTTACAGTGGGCGTAGGCTCTTCACAGATTAAAGGCATCTATTACTCATTCTATGGAGATGGTTTATTGAATGCTTGGGAGTTTCTGTAAGTGTTCTCGGTCCATTGCATAAGATAGAATAAGGGACCATAGGTAAAGACACTGGATCAGGACACGAGGGAAAGCAGACCTTTAGGTATTACAATAGAGATGGAATAGCTGAAAAATTTATTTAAAGTCAGACTATCAACCTGGATTTAATAAAGAAACCATAAGACTGAAAAACACATTTGAGCTGGAATGGGTGAAGGAAAGCCGAAGTCTTGCTCACCACCGATTGTTCCAGATGGTCCACATACTGACTTGGACTCAGAAGTGGCATCAAGAATATGAATGAACTTAAAAAGAAAGCATGACCAAGTCTGTTCTCAATATACCTTAGAAATGACAGCCATCATCTCTGTAAGATTTCCCCATCCCTGGGATATTTGATGAGTGATACTCCTAGATTCTGTAATGTTTTTGTCTTTAGGAATCTGGAGCTGTAGTATTTTTACTTATATTAAGGAGCTGTATGCTAAATAAAGGTGTGTTCATGAGCACCCTCAATTTTTCCCCTGTGGGAAAACTTCTCATTTTCTGTCACTTTTGAGGGCTTTGACTTCTTTGAGAACATCTCCACACTGCAGCCTCACCTTCCATACAAATCACAATTAAATGTATTGTCATTGAGTCAAACCACATCACAGCAATCCTCTTGGGCAGAGTCAAAGTGCTCCTTTAAGAAAGCTTCCTTTCTCTCCCTGGCAGTGGCTGGTAGGTTTGAACAGCTGACTTCTTTTTAGCAGACCTACTTGTAACTCATTATGCTGCCAGGATTCAGTTCAACGTCCATAGTTGCGGTCATTTACTACATTTAAACTCTTTGTTTCCCGTGAGTTTTCCTGGGAAAGGAAGTAAGATAATCTTATACTCAGCTTTCTGAGACCTCCTCATGGGACTCCCCCTCATACAATGTGTCCTTGGTAAGGAACCTTGGGCCGAGATATTAGAATGCCTAAGAATTTGTAACTCCATCCAACCTTCCTACTCACCTACCTGGGGAATGTTGTAGCACATATTTTATGCATGATCTGTCAAGTATTTTTTCAAATTTACTAGCTGTTCATTTATTTATTTGTTTGCATGTTTGTTCATCCTTTTTTCAGTCATCTATGCTTGTTTGTTTATTTATTTTTGGGATAAGAGACATAGGATGCACACTTCTGGAATTCAGTAGCTTTTTTTCTGAACAAAAGCCCTTTCTAATACCAATGGATGACCCAGAAGGAAGGAGATACTTAGAAAACAAAATTAGTTGTTTTTAGTGAGTGCCTACATTTCTTAGGATTGCTGTAAAAAGATGGACACTTACTTTCCAAGCATTCTGGGGTTTGAACATCCAAATTAGGCTTTGCTATGCCAGTTCTTTCCTATGGTCTTTCTTCTGGTTCCTTGCGGTTATGGGGAAAATTCGACGTAATTTTGTGGCTAATAGATCCATCGGCCTCCGTAATCACACAGTATGCATATTTCCCCTGCGATTCATTTCCTTTTCATAATACACAGGAGGTGTAGGTATTAAGACCGACCATCCTGCTGTATGGCAATTTTTGACCAAAATAGTGAAAAATAAGATCCAAGTTCCTCAAGGACGATACATAAACACAGGGATTAGGACCACTACATACCAGGTGCTTCAAACTCTTTGTGGAAAATAGCATGAAAAGATAATAGATTTTCCCCATGAACTTTTTGAAGTCCTTTCATGTTTCTGAGGGATGTCAGAATGAAATCATAGTAGGATGATGGGAAAACATCATTTTCCACACAATCTTCTAATATTAAGGCATGTGAATAACCATCTAGGTAAAACTACCATGAAGACCAGATTCAATACATATATTGCACCTCACTCTTTTAAATAGTCACTTTCCATGAAAATCTCACTACATATTTAGTTATATTTTTCCCCTTTCTCATCGTTCCCCTTATTCTTAGAGTAGCACCAAGTCTGATTGACATCATAAGTAGACTCAAGGAGTCGCAGAGTATTTTTAGGAATGATGACAAATTAGAAAGAGGCTTTTAAAAACTTAGAGCAAATGGCTTAATAAGCATGGGTGAAAGACATGGCAGTCTACTTCCTTAAAGATCATGGCCTAGAAGACCCTCAGGGACAGTTCCACTTTGTCTGACATTATTTCCATGAGACAGTATCCAGCAGGGGGTTTATGAAAGAAAATGCAACTTGGCAATGAATTCTTGTGAAAATGGTTGTGATCATTAAGGTTTATTGTACCAACCTGGCTGATGAACTCATGTGAGATTAACTTAAGGGCTGAGAGACAAATGGCTTGGCGAGCTTCACCTGTCTGGACTCTTGCTCTTTGATGGTTGCACCAGGGTGCAGCTGCTTTAGCTAGTTCTCTGCCTCAGCTGGCAAGGCTCACTTCCTGCAAGACATCCCTGAGGAGAAGCCACATGGACCTACCTCAATGCAGCCCTGGGTGCTGGAGCAGCCGTGTGGAGACCCCTGTCAGCGCTGAGATGCTTACATGCTCACTGACTTGGCTTTCCTCCTGCAGTTGGCATCATTGCGTCTGTTTTGTGAGATTGAGGAGGACTTTGTAGATCAGTGTCAGATTTATGGGCTAATGTTGGACTTGTGGGCTTGGACAGCACTGGATTGGGATGCTTTCTTAAGTATACTTACCCTTTATATAAAACTCTCTCATAAAATATGAGTGTCTATGAATTTTGTTTCTCTAGTCTACCCAAACTAACTCAAGGGTCATATGCTACTTTTGTAGAGAATTCTATGAATCTAAAAATGTGTATTAATACAATTTAAATAGATTGAATAATTTGGGGGGACCAGTCATACCACCATTGAACCATGAAAAATTCTTTGTTTTGTGAACAGATGAAATTTTATGCAATGCAAATTTGAAGAAATTATAGCAAAGAAATAAATTTTTTAATTTGCTTATTTATTTTACAGGAATATAATAATCTCAAAACTTCATTGTTTTTTTTTTGTGTGCTTTTTTCCCAACTTAAGTTTTTTCTCCTTACAGTTTTGGGGTTTTTTTGTTGTTGTTTTCTTTTTCAGCTTTAATATGAATTTCTCTTTTTCCAGCAGACTCTGCCCACTTCAGGAGTTTCCGTTCCTGAGGTGCGTAAGTAAAACCGTTTTCACGCTTTCAATTATACATCTCATGTATGGTAGCTATAAAGAACATTTGGGTTGGCTCAGTGACCTATTCATGTTAAATTACATAGTTGCTTCTCCCTGAAGTGAATCCTAAAGCTTTGCAGATTTGAAACACTTCCAATCTATATTTGTGACAAGCACTAAAAGCAAAACAAACAACAACTAACCCCCAGAAATTTATTAAAAATACAGTGAAGAATTAAAGATTGATTTCCATAGAGTTTGGGCCAGTGTATTAAAAATGTTGTTCTTGCTTAAGTGTTAAAATGTAATATGCTACAGAAAATAATTAGGTCCTTGGAGCCCTCAAAATGTAGCTTTCAATCAGGAGCCCTGGTTGCTTATGGGGTTACTCTTGGGCGACTATCCTGAAGGTCCCCAGTTGGAAACCACCAGCCACTCTGGGAGCATGCTGGGGCTTTCTGCATAGAGAAACTTACAGGGGCAGGTCCCTCCTTTTCCACAGGGTCTTTAGGAGTCAGTATGACTCCATGGCAGTGAACTTGTTTGTTTACACTGCTGAGAAACCGTGCTCACTTTAAAATGGCCACGACTTTTAAAGGAATACAGCTACATTAGTCATCCAGCACATGCTATGGAATAAAAAATCATTGGAATGAAATCTATTCACAGGAGAATGGTGTTTGTTTTAAAACTATGTACTCTTTGTGCACATTTATTTTCAGGAAATCACAAGCTGTACCTTTGCTTTTGTGACATACTTTTCTATATTGTTAGGCAACAGTGTATTATTCGATTTTTATTCTCGCTCAAGAAATTGCCCAAGTAGTAGCAGTTCCTTTATAATTGTAATTTGATTCTGCTTTTTGAGGGAAAGGTATTTAGAATACATAAACAAGGTGTAAATTTATTGAGTATAACTGCACAAATATACATATGCTTTCAAAAGAGTATCTTATCAGGGAGGATAGGCCCACTGAATTAAAAGAAATAAACAAAAGTACACTATATAATTAGAGATTTAATTTAAAAGACACTGGAAATATAGCCAAAATAGATTTTGAGAGTAAAAGAAATATTATGCTGCTTTCAATCAGTAGATATTATAATTACCATCCTTATTATAAAGCAGAGATGCTTAATTTCACCTCTAAGACTTGAAAATATTAAGAAGTATATCATTGAATCTAATTATTGCAGTTTAAGAGAAGTCATTTCACCCTTTGTGTTTGGGTGTGTTTTCTCCCTTATCCTATTCAACGAGGCAGTATAAGCAGTACATGTGATATCATATATTTGCTCTTTAGATTTGTTAATCTCTAAAAACCTTCCATATTCAACTATATAACGTGTATCACTTAATTCAAATAGAGAGAATGAAGGTTGTTTCACTCTATGCTCTCTTATTTTTCTTAAGAAATGATGTGGGTTTTTTTACATATGTCTGAGTTGTGGCTAGATAGATCGCTACTACATATGTGGGTGCCTGTGTGTCTGTGTGTCTGTGTGTGCATATGTGTGTGCATATGCATGTGTATGTTTGTGTGTGTGCGTGTACATGTGTGTGTGTGCATATGTGTGTGGATGTGTGTGCACACGTGTGCATGTGTGTTTCCCCTACAGTGTGCTTTCTTTTTCTGGCAAGACTTACTGGTTTACATCAACTTCAAGTTTTCACTGTTCCCAAAATCATTATATGAATTTTCAACTATGTTATTGTTCCAAAATTACCTTTAAGCTCACACTCATCCACACAAGTGTCTTCGAAGACAAGGCATTCCATGCTGGTAAAGCGTTAGACCCTGGAAAACCACAGGCAATTCTCGGCTGCCCTAGGCGGTTGTTATGAGTCAGAACTGACTAGACGGCAGCGAGTTTTGTTTTGTTTTTTTCTGAGGGGGCTTCAAAAAGTGAAAGAAAAGAAGTTCGTTATCTTTTAACTCTGCTTTGTATGAACCTTTTGGAGACCCCTCTCGCGTACATGCCCAGAGACAAGATGATTTCCCTTTTTCTTTCATCATCAGGACAGTCTTCCTTGGTTATCACAAAAAATATATGTGTCTGTGTATGCCAGATGAAAAGATATATTCATATCTTTAACACTTTATTGGCAATATGAAAATTTTCATGCACTGCCAATAGTTTTCTTTTTTTTTTTTTGCCAATAATTTTCATGTAGGATCAAGGGTTTTGCTTTGATGACAAGCCTAGTAACTGGAAGGAATGTATATATAATATATATATATTATCTTGCATAAGTCATATTCATGGAACTCATGATTTGCCGTTTGAACATATTCAGAGGTACATAACCCAAGGGCATTTTAAATGTAACTTGAGTGTATAAAACACCCCTAATTTATTATTTATCACAAAAATGTTTACAATTGTCTCCAAACCTAATTTGGCCCGTACCAGTAGGTAAACTACAAAACCAACTGGTTGTCATGGAGCACATAGAGCCTGAGGGGACCTCCGTGCATTTCCGACTAGAAGGACTGCCACCGGGCTTTCCAAGCTGTGATCCTTCCGAAACTGACCACTGTACCTTTCCTCCAAAGTGCTCTCAGGGGCTTTGAGCCACCAACCTTTCCTCGGGACTCCAGTCTGATCATGCAGATTCATTTATATGACAGGTAGAGCTCTAGAACATCCCTTCTTTATTCACAATACAATGACCTGGGCAATAATTAAATTGGTCCCAAAGTACTACACAGTAGCCCCTGTGACAAGTCTGCTTTCCTGGTAGAAAGAGAAAACGATCAGTAAAGGAGAGGACTGGCCTAACCTGTCGATAGCAGTTTGTCCTGACCATCGATCAGTATGGTTTACAAAGGAAATGGATCCGGAATGAAGTTGAAGTTGGTTATAGTAGGATCTTCCCCTGTAAATAATTATTTTAAAATCTCATTCATTTAAAAAACCCACTTTAAAATGATTTAAAATCATGTATAATGGACATTACCAAATACAAGTGTAAAACCCCAAACACTCCAAGGTATTGAGCCTATAAGGCAGAATAGGACTGATCCTTTGGGGTTTTGAGGTTACAAAGGTACAAGGGAGCAGAATGCCTCATCGTTCTCTCTCAGGACCACTGGTGCAGACTGCTGACATGGGGGTTAGTTGCCAGCATGTGATCCACTTCACCACCAAGTCTTCTCATGCTAGTGCGAAGGCAAAGTCAAATGATGTTGGAATGGACCTTCTCAGATCTAAGCTACCGCTCAGAGCTCCTTGTAAGGAGAATGACTACAGCACATAATTACCATAAGAACAAATACACATAACATGTGTGCTTTATGAAACCCAGAAACTGTGGATCACATTGCAAATGATGCCTTCAAGTTTACAGGTTGAGTAAACTTTTAGTAATTCCATAGGGATCAAGGGAGCAGCAGGACCTCTGTCTGTAAACTGATTAAAATGAGCCCCGGTGAAGTGGTCCCTTATGCATTGGCTGCTAACTGCCAGGCCAGCAGTTCAAATCCACCACCTGCTCAGCAGGAGATAGATGAGGCCCTTTGCTTCTGTCAGCGATTTGCAGCCTCAGAAAGCAAAGGAAGCAATTATACGTTGCTTGACAGGGTCGTTCAAACTCACTGCCAAGGAATCACTTCTGATTCAGAGTCACCCTAGAGGTTTTTTATTGTTTTTTTTGTAAGTTAGTTTCTCTGAGCTTCTCATCTTTGTAAGCCCCGTGAATGTGATGATGTCACTGCTTCATTGAGATGAATCTCTGATATTGTGAGTATACTAGAACCTGGGTAAAAATGAAAAGTTTCTGGGGTGTCCTTGTGGCTCTGCTCTACTGGCAAATGGGGCTAAGTCTGCCTCCGGCAAGTGAGACAGTCGCAGGGAAGGCAGGTTCCAGGATCCCAGCGAAGGATGCTGGAGGCAGCAAAGCATTGCCTTTGTGCCTTTGTATCTATTCGGATGCTCTGCTGTTGCCTGGCTCTCAAGCTGAGATTGGACAAAAACAAGAAAACCCTGATCTTGAGGCAATCATCACTTGCTGCTTGTAGTTTTCCAGTGGTCAATAACAACAGGCCTCTCCATTGTAGTACACATCTCTTTGTGAAACCGCGTTTTCAGCAATATACAAATACTCTACCTCTGAGAATCAGCATGATGTGGAAAAAAGTTCCTTTTTACAGCACATATTTAAAGAGAGGTCGGTTTATTTCATTTATTTTATCTTTCTGTTTTCTGTGGATGGTCTATTTGGCTTTTCTTCTCCACTTATTATGATGATTGTTCTTTTGGAATTCTAATACAATATATTCCCAGTTAAATTCTTCTGTGCACCTTGTGTAGTGTAAGAATCACAAAACCCTGAATTCTACATTTAAAATGTCTGCATTGGCAAACACAAATGGTTGATATTTGAAAATGCTTAAATATCAATAACTGTTTTATATTTTGTAGTTACATATTCTGTAATCTTTCAGGCTTTTGTGAAAGTAACTCTTTTCAGTGTTTGAATAATTTCTATTGATTAAAGCAATAGTTTTCCAAGTCTTCTTATTTCTAGAATGACTTAGCTGGCTAAAAGAAGTTTAGCTTCATTGTCACACACTCCCATGCTTTGTGCTACGGGGCTAAACATCTGAAGAGAAGACAAGATGAGTGGGTATCAGGGGCTCCTCTTACCAGGGAATGCTTTTTATAGTTTATAATGATTCAAAACATATTTGGCAGGCTCGTTCTTAAAACTTTTTAATAACGTCAGTATTTGGATGAAATCTCCTAGACATAATAGAGCTCTGCCATTTAGGGTTATTTCACCCTAAATATATCGTAAGTTAGGGAAATTATTGTGGACAACTGGATTTTCAAGTGTGTAATCACTTGCCCTTTCCTTCACTCTCTGAGAACACAGAAGGAAAGTTTTTTCTCCATAGAAATAGGAATAGTATCCAATGTCTCTGTTTTGATGCTTAAATGAAATACAGAGAATATCTCAAAGAAGCTTCTGAAATGTTGAAATAAACATAAAT